CCCATTCTCCCGCTTTCCATCACCCCGCCCCATTCTCCCGCTTTCCATCACCCGCCCCATTCTCCCGCTTTCCATCACCCCGCCCCATTTCCCCTCTTTCCATCACCCCTCCCCATTCTCCCTCTTCCATCAACCGCCCCATTCTCCCGCTTTCCATCACCCGCCCCATTCTCCCTCTTTCCATCACCCCGCCCCATTCTCTCGCTTTCCATCACCCCGCCCCATTCTCCCTCTTTCCATCACCCCGCCCCATTCTCCCGCTTTCCATCACCCGCCCCATTCTCCCGCTTTCCATCACCCGCCCCATTCTCCCTCTTTCCATCACCCCGCCCCATTCTCCCGCCTTCCATCACCCCGCCCCATTCTCCCGCTTTCCATCACCCCGCCCATTCTCCCGCTTTCCATCACCCCACCCATTCTCTCGATTCCATCACCCTGCCCCATTCTCCGCCTTCCATCACCCCGCCCCATTCTCCCTCTTTCCATCACCCCGCCCATTCTCCCGCTTTCCATCACCCCGCCCCATTCTCCCTCTTTCCATCACCCCGCCCCATTCTCCCGCTTTCCATCACCCCGCCCGCTTTCCATCACCCCGCTCCATTCTCCCGCTTTCCATCACCCCGCCCCATTCTCCCTCTTTCCATCACCCCTCCCCATTCTCCCTCTTTCCATCAAACCGCCCCATTCTCCCGCTTTCCATCACCCTGGCCCATTCTCCCTCTTTCCATCACCCCGCCCCATTCTCTCGCTTTCCATCACCCCGCCCATTCTCCCTCTTTCCATCACCCCGCCCCATTCTCCCGCTTTCCATCACCCGCCCATTCTCCCGCTTTTCATCACCCCGCCCCATTCTCCCTCTTTCCATCACCCCGCTCCATTCTCCCGCCTTCCATCACCCCGCCCCATTCTCCCGCTTTCCATCACCCCGCCCCATTCTCCGCTTTCCATCACCCCACCCCATTCTCCCGATTTGCCATCACCCCGCCCCATTCTCCCGCTTTCCATCACCCCGCCCCATTCTCCCTCTTTCCATCACCCCGCCCCATTCTCCCGCTTTCCATCACCCCGCCCCATTCTCCCTCTTTCCATCACCCCGCCCCATTCTCCCGCTTTCCATCAGACCACCCCATTCTCCCGCTTTCCATCACCCCGCCCCATTTTCTCTCTTTCCATCACCCCGCTCCATTCTCCCGCTTCCATCACCCCGCCCCATTCTCCCGCTTTCCATCACCCCCCCATTCTCCCGCTTTCCATCACCCCACCCCATTCTCCCGATTTCCATCACCCGCCCCATTCTCCCGCTTTCCATCACCCCGCCCATTCTCCCGCTTTCCATCAACCCGCCCAATTCTCCCTCTTTCCATCACCCCCCCCATTCTCCCTCTTTCCATCACCCCGCCCCATTCTCCCGCTTTCATCACCCGCCCCATTCTCCCGCTTTCCATCACCCCGCCCCATTCTCCCGCTTTCCATCACCCGCCCCATTCTCCCTCTTTCCATCACCTCGCCCCATTCTCCTGCTTTCCATCACCCCGCCCCATTCTCCCGCTGTCCATCACCCCGCCCCATTCTCCCGCTTTCCATCACCCCGCCCCATTCTCCCGCTTTCCATCACCCCGCCCCATTCTCCCTCTTTCCATCACCCCGCCCCATTCTCCCGCTTTCCATCACCCCGCCCCATTCTCCCGCTTTTCCATCATCCCGCCCCATTCTCCCGCTTTCCATCACCCCGCCCCATTCTCCCGCTTTCCATCACCCCGCCCCATTCTCCCGCTTTCCATCACCCGCCCCATTCTCCCGCTTTCCATCACCCCGCCCCATTCTCCCGCTTTCCATCACCCCGCCCCATTCTCCCTCTTCCATTACCCGCCCCATTCTCCCGCTTTCCATCATCCCGCCCCATTCTCCCGCTTTCCACCACCCCGCCCCATTCTCCCGATTTCCATCACCCCGCCCCATTCTCCCGCTTTCCATCACTCCGCCCCATTCTCCCGGTTTCCATCACCTCGCTCCATTCTCCCGCTTTCCATCACCCCGCCCAATTATTCTCTTTCCATCACCCCTCCCCATTCTCCCTCTTTCCATCACCCCGCCCCATTCTCCCGCTTTCCATCACCCCGCCCCATTCTCCCTCTTTCCATCACCCCGTCCCATTCTCCCGCTTTCCATCACCCGCCCCATTCTCCCTCTTTCCATCACCCGCCTCATTCTCCCGCTTTCCATCACCCCGCCCCATTCTCCCTCTTTCCATCACCCCGCTCCATTCTCCCGCTTTCCATCACCCCGCCCAATTCTTCCTCTTTCCATCACCCCTCCTCATTCTCCCTCTTTCCATCACCCCGCTCCATTCTCCCGCTTTCCATCACCCCACCAGCCAGTTGAGTTGCTCCCAGCACCCCCACCAGCCAGGTGAGTTGCTCCCAGCACCCCCACCAACCAGGCGAGTTGCTCCAGGCACCCCCACCAGCCAGGCGAGTTGCTCTCAGCACCCCCACTAGCCAGGCGAGTTGCTCCCAGCACCCCAGCCAGCCAGTTGAGTTGCTCCCAGCACCCCCACCAGCCAGTTGAGTTGCTCCCAGCACCCCCACCAGCCAAGTGAGTTGCTCCCAGCACCCCCACCAGCCAGGCGAGTTGCTCCCAGCACCCCCACCAGCCAGGTGAGTTGCTCCCAGCACCCCCACCAGCCAGGCGAGTTGCTCCCAGCACCCCCACCAGCCAGCGAGTTGCTCCCAGCACCCCCACCAGCCAGGTGAGTTGCTCCCAGCACCCCCACCAGCCAGGCGAGTTGCTCCCAGCACCCCCACCAGCCAGGCGAGTTGCCCAGCACCCCCACCAGCCAGGCGAGTTGCTCCCAGCACCCCCACCAGCCAGGTGAGTTGCTCCCAGCACCCCCACCAGCCAGACGAGTTGCTCCCAGCACCCCCACCAGCCAGGCGAGTTGCTCCCAACACCCCCACCAGCCAGGCGAGTTGCTCCCAGCACCCCCACCAGCCAGGCGAGTTGCTCCCAGCACCCCCACCAGCCAGGTGAGTTGCTCCCAGCACCCCCACCAGCCAGGCGAGTTGCTCCCAGCACCCCCACCAGCCAGGTGAGTTGCTCCCAGCACCCCCACCAGCCAGGCAAGTTGCTCCCAGCACCCCCACCAGCCAGGCGAGTTGCTCCCAGCACCCCCACCAGCCAGGCAAGTTGCTCCCAGCACCCCCACCAGCCAGGCGAGTTGCTCCCAGCACCCCCACCAGCCAGGTGAGTTGCTCCCAGCACCCCCACCAGCCAGGTGAGTTGCTCCCAGCACCCCCACCAGCCAGGCGAGAGTTGCTCCCAGCACCCCACCAGCCAGGTGAGTTGCTCCCAGCACCCCCACCAGCCAGGTGAGTTGCTCCCAGCACCCCCACCAGCCAGGCGAGTTGCTCCCAGCACCCCCACCAGCCAGGCGAGTTGCTCCCAGCACCCCCACCAGCCAGGCGAGTTGCTCCCAGCACCCCCACCAGCCAGGCGAGTTGCTCCCAGCACCCCCACCAGCCAAGTGAGTTGCTCCCAGCACCCCCACCAGCCAGGCGAGTTGCTCCCAGCACCCCCACCAGCCAGGCGAGTTGCTCCCAGCACCCCCACCAGCCAGGCGAGTTGCTCCCAGCAACCCCACCAGCCAGGCGAGTTGCTCCCAGCACCCCCACCAGCCAGGTGAGTTGCTCCCAGCACCCCCACCAGCCAGATGAGTTGCTCCCAGCACCCCCACCAGCCAGGCAAGTTGCTCCCAGCACCCCCACCAGCCAGGCGAGTTGCTCCCAGCACCCCCACCAGCCAGGCGAGTTGCTCCCAGCACCCCCACAGCCAGGTGAGTTGCTCCCAGCACCCCCACCAGCCAGGCGAGTTGCTCCCAGCACCCCCACCAGCCAGTGAGTTGCTCCCAGCACCCCCACCAGCCAGGCGAGTTGCTCCCAGCACCCCCACCAGCCAGGCGAGTTGCTCCCAGCACCCCCACCAGCCAGGCGAGTTGCTCCCAGCAACCCCACCAGCCAGGCGAGTTGCTCCCAGCACCCCCACCAGCCAGGCGAGTTGCTCCCAGCACCCCCACCAGCCAGGCGAGTTGCTCCCAGCACCCCCACCAGCCAGGTGAGTTGCTCCCAGCACCCCCACCAGCCAGGCGAGTTGCTCCCAGCACCCCCACCAGCCAGGTGAGTTGCTCCCAGCACCCCCACCAGCCAGGTGAGTTGCTCCCAGCATTCCCACCAGCCAGGCGAGTTGCTCCCAGCACCCCCACCAGCCAGGCGAGTTGCTCCCAGCACCCCCACCAGCCAGGCGAGTTGCTCCAAGCACCCCCAACCGCCAGGCGAGTTGCTCCCAGCACCCCCACCAGCCAGGTGAGTTGCTCCCAGCACCCCCATCAGCCAAGCACCCCCACCAGCCAGGTGAGTTGCTTCCAGCACCCCCACCAGCCAGGTGAGTTGCTCCCAGCACCCCCACCAGCCAGGTGAGTTGCTCCCAGCACCCCCACCAGCCAGGTGAGTTGCTCCCAGCACCCCCACCAGCCAGGTGAGTTGCTCCCAGCACCCCCACCAGCCAGGTGAGTTGCTCCCAGCACCCCCACCAGCCAGGCGAGTTGCTCCCAGCACCCCACCAGCCAGGTGAGTTGCTCCCAGCACCCCCACCAGCCAGGTGAGTTGCTCCCAGCACCCCCACCAGCCAGGCGAGTTGCTCCCAGCACCCCCACCAGCCAGGCGAGTTGCTCCCAGCACCCCAACCAGCCAGGCGAGTTGCTCCCAGCACCCCCACCAGCCAGGCGAGTTGCTCCCAGCACTCCCACCAGCCAGGTGAGTTGCTCCCAGCACCCCCACCAGCCAAGTGAGTTGCTCCCAGCACCCCCACCAGCCAGGTGAGTTGCTCCCGGCACCCCCATCAGCCAAGCACCCCCACCAGCCAGGTGAGTTGCTCCCAGCACCCCCACCAGCCAGGTGAGTTGCTCCTAGCACCCCCACCAGCCAGGTGAGTTGCTCCCAGCACCCCCACCAGCCAGGTGAGTTGCTCCCAGCACCCCCACCAGCCAGGTGAGTTGCTCCCAGCACCCCCACCAGCCAGGCGAGTTGCTCCCAGCACCCCCACCAGCCAGGTGAGTTGCTCCCAGCACCCCCACCAGCCAGGTGAGTTGCTCCCAGCACCCCCACCAGCCAGGCGAGTTGCTCCCAGCACCCCCACCAGCCAGGCGAGTTGCTCCCAGCACCCCACCAGCCAGGCGAGTTGCTCCCAGCACCCCCACCAGCCAGGCGAGTTGCTCCCAGCACCCCCACCAGCCAGGTGAGTTGCTCCCAGCACCCCCACCAGCCAGGCGAGTTGCTCCCAGCAACCCCACCAGCCAGGTGAGTTGCTCCCAGCACCCCCACCAGCCAGGCGAGTTGCTCCCAGCACCCCCACCAGCCAGGCGAGTTGCTCCCAGCACCCCCACCAGCCAGGCGAGTTGCTCCCAGCACCCCCACCAGCCAGGCGAGTTGCTCCCAGCACCCCACCAGCCAGGTGAGTTGCTCCCAGCACCCCCACCAGCCAGGCGAGTTGCTCCCAGCACCCCCACCAGCCAGGCGAGTTGCTCCCAGCACCCCCACCAGCCAGGCGAGTTGCTCCCAGCACCCCCACCAGCCAGGCGAGTTGCTCCCAGCACCCCCACCAGCCAGGCGAGTTGCTCCCAGCACCCCCACCAGCCAGGTGAGTTGCTCCCAGCACCCCCACCAGCCAGGTGAGTTGCTCCCAGCACCCCCACCAGCCAGGCGAGTTGCTCCCAGCACCCCCCCCAGCCAGCACCCCCACCAGCCAGGCGAGTTGCTCCCAGCACCCCCACCAGCCAGGCGAGTTGCTCTCAGCACCCCCACCAGCCAGGCGAGTTGCTCCCAGCACCCCCACCAGCCAGGCGAGTTGCTCTCCAGCACCCCACCACCAGCCAGGTGAGTTGCTCCCAGCACCCCCACCAGCCAGGCGAGTTGCTCCCAGCACCCCCACCAGCCAGGTGAGTTGCTCCCAGCACCCCCACCAGCCAGGTGAGTTGCTCCCAGCACCCCCACCAGCCAGGTGAGTTGCTCCCAGCACCCCCACCAGCCAGGTGAGTTGCTCCCAGCACCCCACCAGCCAGGTGAGTTGCTCCCAGCACCCCCACCAGCCAGGTGAGTTGCTCCCAGCACCCCCACCAGCCAGTGAGTTGCTCCCAGCACCCCCACCAGCCAGGTGAGTTGCTCCCAGCACCCCCACCAGCCAGGTGAGTTGCTCCCAGCACCCCCACCAGCCAGGCGAGTTGCTCCCAGCACCCCCACCAGCCAGGCGAGTTGCTCCCAGCACCCCCACCAGCCAGGCGAGTTGCTCCCAGCACCCCCACCAGCCAGGTGAGTTGCTCCCAGCACCCCCAACAGCCAGGTGAGTTGCTCCCAGCACCCCCACCAGCCAGGTGAGTTGCTCCCAGCACCCCCACCAGCCAGGTGAGTTGCTCCCAGCACCCCACCAGCCAGGTGAGTTGCTCCCAGCACCCCCACCAGCCAGGCGAGTTGCTCCCAGCACCCCCACCAGCCAGGTGAGTTGCTCCCAGCACCCCCACCAGCCAGGTGAGTTGCTCCAGCACCCCACCAGCCAGGTGAGTTGCTCCCAGCACCCCCACCAGCCAGGCGAGTTGCTCCCAGCACCCCCACCAGCCAGGTGAGTTGCTCCCAGCACCCCCACCAGCCAGGCGAGTTGCTCCCAGCACCCCCACCAGCCAGGCGAGTTGCTCCCAGCACCCCCACCAGCCAGGCGAGTTGCTCCCAGCACCCCCACCAGCCAGGCGAGTTGCTCCCAGCACCCCCACCAGCCAGGCGAGTTGCTCCCAGCACCCCCACCAGCCAGGCGAGTTGCTCCCAGCACCCCCACCAGCCAGGCGAGTTGCTCCCAGCACCCCCACCAGCCAGGCGAGTTGCTCCCAGCACCCCCACCAGCCAGGCGAGTTGCTCCCAGCACCCCCACAGCCAGGTTAGTTGCTCCCAGCACCCCCACCAGCCAGGCGAGTTGCTCCCAGCACCCCAACCAGCCAGGTGAGTTGCTCCAGGCACCCCCACCAGCCAGGTGAGTTGCTAGGTGAGTTGCTCCCAGCACCCCCACCAGCCAGGTGAGTTGCTAGGTGAGTTGCTCCCAGCAACCCCACCAGCCAGGTGAGTTGCTCCCAGCACCCCCACCAGCCAGGTGAGTTGCTCCCAGCACCCCCACCAGCCAGGTGAGTTGCTCCCAGCACCCCCACCAGCCAGGTGAGTTGCTCCCAGCACCCCACCAGCCAGGTGAGTTGCTCCCAGCACCCCACCAGCCAGGTGAGTTGCTCCCAGCACCCCCACCAGCCAGGCGAGTTGCTCCCAGCACCCCCACCAGCCAGGCGAGTTGCTCCCAGCACCCCCACCAGCCAGGCGAGTTGCTCCCAGCACCCCCACCAGCCAGGCGAGTTGCTCCCAGCACCCCACCAGCCAGGCGAGTTGCTCCCAGCACCCCCACCAGCCAGGCGAGTTGCTCCCAGCACCCCCACCAGCCAGGCGAGTTGCTCCCAGCACCCCCACCAGCCAGGCGAGTTGCTCCCAGCACCCCCACCAGCCAGGCGAGTTGCTCCCAGCACCCCCACCAGCCAGGCGAGTTGCTCCCAGCACCCCCACCAGCCAGGCGAGTTGCTCCCAGCACCCCACCAGCCAGGCGAGTTGCTCCCAGCACCCCCACAGCCAGGTTAGTTGCTCCCAGCACCCCCACCAGCCAGGTGAGTTGCTCCCAGCACCCCCACCAGCCAGGTGAGTTGCTCCCAGCACCCCCACCAGCCAGGTGAGTTGCTAGGGAGTTGCTCCCAGCACCCCCACCAGCCAGGTGAGTTGCTAGGTGAGTTGCTCCCAGCACCCCACCAGCCAGGTGAGTTGCTCCCAGCACCCCCACCAGCCAGGTGAGTTGCTCCCAGCACCCCCACCAGCCAGGTGAGTTGCTCCTAGCACCCCCACCAGCCAAGTGAGTTGCTCCCAGCACCCCCACCAGCCAGGTGAGTTGCTCCCAGCACCCCCACCAGCCAGGCGAGTTGCTCCCAGCACCCCACCAGCCAGGCGAGTTGCTCCCAGCACCCCCACCAGCCAGGCGAGTTGCTCCCAGCACCCCCACCAGCCAGGCGAGTTGCTCCCAGCACCCCACCAGCCAGGCGAGTTGCTCCCAGCACCCCCACCAGCCAGGCGAGTTGCTCCCAGCACCCCCACCAGCCAGGCGAGTTGCTCCCAGCACCCCCACCAGCCAGGCGAGTTGCTCCCAGCACCCCCACCAGCCAGGCGAGTTGCTCCCAGCACCCCCACCAGCCAGGCGAGTTGCTCCCAGCACCCCCACCAGCCAGGCGAGTTGCTCCCAGCACCCCCACCAGCCAGGCGAGTTGCTCCCAGCACCCCCACCAGCCAGGCGAGTTGCTCCCAGCACCCCCACCAGCCAGGCGAGTTGCTCCCAGCACCCCACCAGCCAGGCGAGTTGCTCCCAGCACCCCCACCAGCCAGGCGAGTTGCTCCCAGCACCCCCACCAGCCAGGCGAGTTGCTCCCAGCACCCCCCACAGCCAGGTGAGTTGCTCCCAGCACCCCCACCAGCCAGGCGAGTTGCTCCCAGCACCCCACCAGCCAGGCGAGTTGCTCCCAGCACCCCCACCAGCCAGGCGAGTTGCTCCCAGCACCCCCACCAGCCAGGCGAGTTGCTCCCAGCACCCCCACCAGCCAGGCGAGTTGCTCCAAGCACCCCCACCAGCCAGGCGAGTTGCTCCAGCACCCCCACCAGCCAGGCGAGTTGCTCCCAGCACCCCCACCAGCCAGGCGAGTTGCTCCCAGCACCCCCACCAGCCAGGCGAGTTGCTCCCAGCACCCCCACCAGCCAGGCGAGTTGCTCCCAGCACCCCCACCAGCCAGGCGAGTTGCTCCCAGCACCCCCACCAGCCAGGCGAGTTGCTCCCAGCACCCCCACAAGCCTGGCGAGTTGCTCCCACACCCCCACCAGCCAGGCGAGTTGCTCCCAGCACCCCACCAGCCAGGCGAGTTGCTCCCAGCACCCCCACCAGCCAGGCGAGTTGCTCCCAGCACCCCCACCAGCCAGGCGAGTTGCTCCCAGCACCCCCACCAGCCAGGCGAGTTGCTCCCAGCACCCCCACCAGCCAGGCGAGTTGCTCCCAGCACCCCCACAGGCCAGGTTAGTTGCTCCCAGCACCCCCACCAGCCAGGTGAGTTGCTCCCAGCACCCCCACCAGCCAGGTGAGTTGCTCCCAGCACCCCCACCGGCCAGGTGAGTTGCTCCCAGCACCCCCACCAGCCACGTGAGTTGCTAGGTGAGTTGCTCCCAGCAACCCCACCAGCCAGGTGAGTTGCTCCCAGCACCCCCAACAGCCAGGTGAGTTGCTCCTAGCACCCCCACCAGCCAGGTGAGTTGCTCCCAGCACCCCCACCAGCCAGGTGAGTTGCTCCCAGCAACCCCACCAGCCAGGTGAGTTGCTCCCAGCACCCCCACCAGCCAGGTGAGTTGCTCCCAGCACCCCCACCAGCCAGGTGAGTTGCTCCCAGCACCCCCACCAGCCAGGTGAGTTGCTCCCAGCACCCCCACCAGCCATGTGAGTTGCTCCCAGCACCCCTACCAGCCAGGCGAGTTGCTCCCAGCACCCCCACCAGCCAGGTGAGTTGCTCCCAGCACCCCCACCAGCCAGGTGAGTTGCTCCCAGCACCCCACCAGCCAGGTGAGTTGCTCCCAGCACCCCCACCAGCCAGGTGAGTTGCTCCCAGCACCCCACCAGCCAGGCGAGTTGCTCCCAGCACCCCCACCAGCCAGGCGAGTTGCTCCCAGCACCCCCACCAGCCAGGCGAGTTGCTCCCAGCACCCCCACCAGCCAGGCGAGTTGCTCCCAGCACCCCCACCAGCCAGGCGAGTTGCTCCCAGCACCCCCACCAGCCAGGCGAGTTGCTCCCAGCACCCCACCAGCCAGGCGAGTTGCTCCTAGCACCCCCACCAGCCAGGTGAGTTGCTCCCAGCACCCCCACCAGCCAGGTGAGTTGCTCCCAGCACCACCAGCCAGGCGAGTTGCTCCCAGCACCCCCACCAGCCAGGAGAGTTGCTCCCAGCACCCCCACCAGCCGGGGAAAGTTGCTCCCAGCACCCCACCAGCCAGGCGAGTTGCTCCTAGCACCCCCACAGCCAGGTGACTTGCTCCCAGCACCCCCACCAGCCAGGTGAGTTGCTCCCAGCACCCCCACCAGCCGGGTGAGTTGCTCCCAGCACCCCCACCAGCCAGGTGAGTTGCTCCCAGCACCCCCACCAGCCAGTTGCTAGGTGAGTTGCTCCCAGCACCCCCACCAGCCAGGTGAGTTGCTCCCAGCACCCCCACCAGCCAGGTGAGTTGCTCCTAGCACCCCACCAGCCAGGTGAGTTGCTCCCAGCACCCCCACACAGAGGTGAGAGTTGCTCCCAGCACCCCACCAGCCAGGTGAGTTGCTCCCAGCACCCCACCAGCCAGGTGAGTTGCTCCCAGCACCCCACCAGCCAGGTGAGTTGCTCCCAGCACCCCCACCAGCCAGGTGATTGCTCCCAGCAACCCACCAGCCAGGTGAGTTGCTCCCAGCACCCCCACCAGCCAGGCAGTTGCTCCCAGCACCCCCACCAGCCAGGTGAGTTGCTCCCAGCACCCCACCAGCCAGGTGAGTTGCTCCCAGCACCCCAACCAGCCAGGTGAGTTGCTCCCAGCACCCCCACCAGCCAGGTGAGTTGCTCCCAGCACCCCCACCAGCCAGGCGAGTTGCTCCCAGCACCCACACAGCCAGGCGAGTTGCTCCCAGCACCCCCACCAGCCAGGCGAGAGTTGCTCCCAGCACCCCCACCAGCCAGGTGAGTTGCTCCCAGCACCCCCACAAGCCAGGTGAGTTGCTCCCAGCACCCCACCAGCCAGGCGAGTTGCTCCCAGCACCCCACCAGCCAGGCGAGTTGCTCCCAGCACCCCCACCAGCCAGGTGAGTTGCTCCCAGCACCCCCACCAGCCAGGTGAGTTGCTCCCAGCACCCCCACCAGCCAGGCGAGTTGCTCCCAGCACCCCCACCAGCCAGGTGAGTTGCTCCCAGCACACCCCCACCAGCCAGGCGAGTTGCTCCAGCACCCCCACCAGCCAGGTGAGTTGCTCCCAGCACCCCCACCAGCCAGGTGAGTTGCTCCCAGCACCCCACCAGCCAGGTGAGTTGCTCCCAGCAACCCCACCAGCCAGGTGAGTTGCTCCCAGCACCCCCACCAGCCAGGCGAGTTGCTCCCAGCACCCCCACCAGCCAGGCGAGTTGCTCCCAGCACCCCCACCAGCCAGGCGAGTTGCTCCCAGCAACCCCACCAGCCAGGCGAGTTGCTCCCAGCACCCCCACCAGCCAGGCGAGTTGCTCCCAGCACCCCACCAGCCAGGTGAGTTGCTCCCAGCACCCCCACCAGCCAGGTGAGTTGCTCCCAGCACCCCACCAGCCAGGTGAGTTGCTCCCAGCACCCCCACCAGCCAGGCGAGTTGCTCCCAGCACCCCCACCAGCCAGGCGAGTTGCTCCCAGCAACCCCACCAGCCAGACGAGTTGCTCCTAGCACCCCCACCAGCCAGGCGAGTTGCTCCCTGCACCCCCACCAGCCAGCAGGCAAGTTGCTCCCAGCAACCCCACCAGCAAGGCGAGTTGCTCCCAGCATCCCCACCAGCCAGGCGAGCTGCTTCCAGCACCCCCACCAGTTAGGCGAGTTGCTCCCAGCACCCCCACCAGCCAGGCGAGTTGCTCCCAGCACCCCCACCAGCCAGAGCGAGTTGCTCCAGGCACCCCCACCAGCCAGGTGAGTTGCTCCCAGCACCCCCACCAGCCAGGTGAGTCGCTCCCAGCACCCCCACCAGCCAGACGAGTTGCTCCAGCAACCCCACCAGCCTGGTGAGTTGCTCCAGCACCCCCACCAGCCAGGTGAGTTGCTCCCAGCACCCCACCAGCCAGGTGAGTTGATGGAAAGCAGGAGAATGGGGCGGGGGTGATGGAGGATGGAGAATGGGGGTAGAGTGATAGAATGCAGGAGAATGGGGCGGGGTGATGGAAAGAGGGAGAATGGGGCGGGGTGATGGAAAGCGGGGAGATGGGGCGAGGTGATGGAAAGCGGGAGAATGGGGCGGGGTGATGGAAAGCTGGAGAATGGGGCGGGGTGATGGAAAGAGGGAGAATGGGGCGGGGTGATGGAAGAGGGAGAATTGGGGCGGGGTGATGGGAAGCGGGAGAATGGGCCGGGTGATAGAAAGGGGAGATGGGGCGGGGTGATGGAAATCGGGAGAATGGGGCGGGGTGATGAAAAGCGGGAGAATGGGGCGGGGTGATGGGAAAGCGGAGAATGGGGCGGGTGGGATGGAAAGCAGGAGAATGTGGCGGGGTGATGGAAAGCGGGAGAATGGGGGGGGTGATGGAAATCGAGAGAATGGGGCGAAGTGATGGAAAGCTGGAGAATG